TGAAAACTATCCCAAACTACTTCCTTCTCCCCCAAGCCTGTTACTAACTTTTGCTTTGTCTTAGAAACAGACCACTGCGGCCTAGAAGTGTACCAATAAAGCTATTAGCTGAGCACCAAAGAGAAAAATACTATAGAGGAAAAATATTTTTAAAGGACTACAGCAGATCATTTCATGGATCTTCAAAGGGCTACACAAACTACCCTGCAGCAGCAGAAAAACTGCTAGTAACTCATGAACTACCTGAGAGACCCCTGCTTCAGTGTATCTGATAAAATGAGCTCTGACACACAAAAGCTTATACTGGAATAAATTCTATTCGTCTTTAATTTGCTGTTACAGGCTAACATGGCTACCTATCTGGCATTATCAACAGTACAGCAGTACTAGAGTTAATTGTTCAACCACTGTCTTGATAGATCTCTTAATCTGGTGTTATTTGAGCATGTATATGAGGCTTTACATTGCCTAATTTCGAAAGCAAAGCTATGGTTTCTTGAACAACTGATGAAAAGCAACAACTGAGCTTCTGTGGTTGAAGAGGAGCAGCTTAACTGCTTGAGAGAGAAAGTGAGGCTTCTTCCAGTTAACTTCCAACCTAGTAACAGGTTTCACCGAGATCAACTGGACCTACTTCCACATTTTACTGACACTGAGGAAAATGACACAACAGGGCATTAACAGACAGAGGACAGCCAGCTGAGAGGAAGGAATGCTATAATTCTACCATTTTGCATCACACTCTCAAATACTGCCACCCTCTCCCTGCTATTACCCTCCATTTACATAAATAAATCCAAAATCATGACGCTTCTATCTTTTAAAAAAACCAACCTGGTACTAACAAATAACAAAAATCCCCCAAACAAAACCGTGCACTCTCTGCTTTTGTTCTCCAGCTTTGTTTTATGGAAGGTCTCTTTGTTAACCAAATGGAAACCCTTGATAGGTTTCACTATTGTCCTTGGAATATCTTTTGTTTTGTTTTACAGACTAAGCTTCCAATAAGCATCACTGCATAAATGGTCTTTTAGCAATTCTAGTTACACTTGCTTGAGAGACTTGCTTACTTGAGAAAAAAAAGCTGATACTGAAAAGCATCCTGAGGGGCTCTGATCTTTCCCTGTGCATTCCAGCACACAATTCATAGATTATTATTCCTCTAATAGTCCACCACCACTGCCAGAGTGGCAGTCCTGCAAATAAACAAGTCACCAGGATTTCAGGGTAGGATTTTACCTATCAATTCCTAATCTACTCCTCATGCATTTCCAGTCAGTACTGACCTAATAAATGAGGTCATCACTTTGGAAGCAGAAAAGGACTCCCAAAGAAATTCTGTGTTTTCTTTTGCTAATTTGTTGTATTGTTTTACAGATTTTGTAAGCCTTCTTAAAGGCCAAACCTGGTCAGATAGTAGGGTACAAACGTTTAGCGGAATAAAGGCTATGCAGCTGTTTGCACCATCACCTCCAAACACGCAAATCTGAATCTTCACACTGCATATACCAAGGGTAAGAGTTCGTACTGAACTTCTGGTTTTGTTCACAATGTTCCTAGCCCTTGGGAGTCCCCCTGAATTTCCAATGTTGAGGGCTCAAAGCACTAACTATATAAGATCTGAACGCCCCTGGAAGTCAATGCAATTGGTTCTTACAGAGGGAACCAATTATTTGTCATTTGAGGCAAATCTGTGGATATGATACTCAATCCCTGTCCCCTTCTTTTCTAGACAGGACTGTATGTTCAATGAAAAAGTAACACAATTGTGCAAGAACTGCAGCATGTGAAAAGAACAAATGGAAAAGAGAACTATGAAACTTCAACACGCTAATTAGTCGTGCACTGAGAGACATGAGTAATTGCACACACAAAACCCCAAATGACTACTTTTTAATGAAAATCATTTTTTAAAACGTTAATCTCCAGAGTCTGATCCATTTTGCTTTAATCTGAAAATGTTGCCTATATCCAAGAATCTTCCACAGAGTCTAATTATAACCTCTCTACTAGCTACTTGCCTCAGAAATTATGCACCACACTGTCCATGAAAAAAACAAGCCTTAGGAACAGATCAAGGTTGTGTTAAGAGCTTATCTTTGGAGACTAGAGGGATTACAATGTCAGTTTCAAAACGAAGGAATAAAAAGCGAACAAATGTGTGAACTCATTATTTTTCAAAAGCAAGGATATTAATAAAAGAACACTGCTTGGTATCAATCATATCACTCAGCTTTTACAGAATACATTTGATCTACAAGTTGGCTACATCACCTTCATGCTCCTATCAGAAAGAGATCTATACCTTTAATTCCTAGTCCTTAAAATATAAATTAAAATATATTTATTGAATATAGTTGAAAATGGTTTGGTAGGAGAACAGTGTTTCTAAGAAAAAGACACAGAAACTCACATCTATCACAAATCAGGTCCCACCATGTCATGGGAAAGGTATCAGACAAGGAAAGCAGTCCAGCTCTTCATGACCACAGTTGAATTAACCTAAATTTTCAAGTCTTACACACCCATTTTGTTCCAAAGAAAACCAGAGATGCAAGACAGACAGAGAGAGAAAGAAGTTACATCTAACAATGTGTTAATAAAGGATCTCTTTTTTAATCAGACAGAAGGTTCTCATTGGGACTAGCTCATTTCAATCCCTTTATCCTTTCTAACAGTTAATTTGAAAGCAACATCCCTGCAGTAATTAGCTAGATGCTTGCTGTTATATCTCATAGGGAAAGGCTAGGATGCTATTATTAAATATATAAACAAGGGAGCAAAAGGAGACTAATATCTGCTAGAATACTAAATATCAATATAATGTATGCATAGAAATATTTGCCAGGAAAGGGAAGAGAGAGAAGAAACAAAAGCAAACAATCTATCATAGGACAAAAGGTTTATGGGTTCGTTGCTGTTTGTAGTTAACATTGTGGGTTAATATAAAATAAAATAGAAATGCTCCAGTGACCCTCAGCAGAGGAGGCACTTGGTAAAAGTACAAAACAAGAATTATAATCG